AGGAGATATTATTCTGGAGTGTGATCCTAATAATATGATACGTCTAATAGCACTTAACTCTTAGTTGGAGCTGTACCATACTGAGAGCCTCAAATAGAAAGTCGGGGACATGGAGAGGGGAAACGGGAAGGATAGGGAAGAAAAAGAAAAAGTAGCAGATCCTGAATGGCTTTCAGAGGTTATGGAGGAACGTCCTCTACGGTGCTTGTGTAGAGGCTTAATATCTCTTTGCTCATTGGTTTGGCAGCTGAAAAAATTGGAAATGACACAAAGTATTTCTCAAGCTCACAAAGGTGATATAGAAGCTCACGATCATGGACTTGCAAGCGTACAGGGCATATGCCGCACATCATTCGCACATGTGCTCGCACGCTGACTGATACACAAAAGAATTCCACAAAGGTCACTTTTGACAGCGGTAAATAACAATCCCACCGCAGGCTCTGCTTCTGATTCCGAAATGCAAAAACATTTTGATTTGCTCTTGAGAGCTTTGTTTGTTTGTTTGATTCACTTTTCAGTTCAAACCCGAATGCGAACGTCAAGTTGGCAAAGAAGACTGTATCTATGGAGGAGAACCAAACATTGGTGAAGTTGCGGTTTTGCTCTACTGATAGTAAATGCAGCCAGAATGGAAAGAGAATTTTTTATTTTTTTTTTAAATGGAGATAATTTTCTTATAAAAGTCGTGTTCTTTTGATTTGATGCTTGCTGTGCCAATTTCAATGCAAAACAAAGACAGAATGATTTGAAGGCCACTGTGCCTTCCAAGAGAAAATTATCTTTACATGCTGTAAGATTTATGAATTTGTTCTTGGTTTTGAAAGCAATTGATGCAAATTAAACTGTTTCCTCTGTGAACCCTAGTAATCAGCTTAAGTGATTACATCGGTCGTAAATATGAGATGATGAAAGCTCAGTGTGCACTGTGCCCTGAGGAAAGGCTAAATGGGAGTTCATAGGGTAGATATGATAAAACATCACACTGGGACTGCACCAGATGCAGGGGGAAGGGGCTTATGTGGGGAGTGGTTGCCCTCTAGCTGTCAGCGTTGAGACTGGATTATGAAATATGGTCCTAATTTTCTGTCAAGGTGTGTTTATGAAGAGCTATCAGTTAGCTTGGGGCCTGAGCTTAGCTTTGAAATGTACTGGTAATGTTGATATGAAGGAGTATGATTGGAAGGAATCACTAGTGGCTTGGAAAAGTCTGAACTTGTCAATATCTGCTAAATAAAAACCAAAAAAACCCCAAAAGAAACATTTGGGATGGAAACGTGGGAACACAGACAGGTAAAATATTGAAGACAAAGAAAGTGAGAGGAGAGCCTTTCAATTAACGATAAAAAGAACAAGGAGCCAGTGGAGAGAGTCAGGATTCAAGCAAATGCTAAAGTAAAGTTTTTTGGGTAACAAAGCTAGGGAACAGGCTAGAAGGCAGTGTATTTGGTTTCTGCTGTGAAGGCCCTCATGTTTATTTTACTTCCTGTGTTATATCCTATATCCCATATGGGGGATGATGATTTTACTTGTACTCATTGTTGATGGCTGTCATCAACTTGCCACACCCACAGACCAAAAGACTGAACAAGAAAAAAAGCTTTTGAAACAAAGTTGCAAGAGGGCGCTAACGATGGAGGCACTGTTTTGAGACTTTGAATGCAAAGGTTACCAACCATAAAGAATAAGTTCTATTAAATAACCATTCAGATTAATAATAACTAATTATTCAGTGCACAGTGGTGTATAAACGCACAGTCAATATCAATTCATCCAAAGTTATATTGGAAGTGTGCAACTGGTGATTGTATCAGTGACAAAATGGATTGAATTTTCCATCCTTCTTTTCTAGTGAGCTACTGTCATTGATGATAGACATTCAAAGTCTGAACATATTGCAACAAGGTGCCAGCATTAGCAATGCAGCCATACTGACACAGCATTATATCCAGTGACACAGTAAAGTAGCCTAGATAGTGTTTTCTGTGTAAATTTTAAGTAAAATTGTAACACAACTCTTTAGTTTACAATAGCAAGGACTAATATGATCTAATAATGGAGCTCTTCAGGAACCTGCCACAATGTCACGTAATAAATCGAAACTAAAAAATATTTCCTACCTGGGATGCTGTAACCTGGGCCGAGTTTTTTAACCATTTGCTCAAAGCCCGCCTTTACCACCGTGTAACCGAGTCAGTAATTTCCATCATGTCATATGGGATCCAGTTGTTTACTTCTGGGTGGCATATCTCCAGCTCTCTTGCCTTTACTGCGTGGTTGTACTTGATGGCGTGCCTCAAGTGGCAAAACAATTTGTTGTTTCCTCCTTTAGCGAGAACAGTTTTCTTGCATATTTTGCAAAGCTTTATTGGAGTACCTCCCTTTTCCTCCCTAGACTGACATGTGGCTCTCGCTGTCAGACATGTCTGGGCTTGTGCTGCTGTGCCAGCTTGGGAATGTAAATGCATGGTGTTGCTAATATCATTGGTATTGTGATATGACATTTTTATATCATGTAAAACTTTAATAATGATATTAAGGATGGCAAATTCCTAATTTGCAACAGGAATGTAATAAGCAAACATAGCTTTAGCTCTAGCCCTATTTAGCGCAGTATCTACCATTCCCATTGTTTAGCTAGTTAGCGGTCTCTTTGTGGGAAATAAATGCAATCAGTGTCTGTCTGTCTGTGTGTGTGTTTACTGTCTTTACTCAGTTGGCTCCAACACTTTAACTTTCAGAACAATGCCAGTGTTCACACTAACCAATCAAAATCAAGCAGGGGGAGAAGAAAAACTGGGCAGGAGATGTTTTTTTGTAACCAGGCAACAATAAGCACTCAAGAGAAGCGCAAGTGAAAATGTGGTCAGGGGTACAGCGAGCGGAAAAAATAATGCTAAGAAGACTAGCTTTAGGCATTACATGTAGAATTACACTGCAGGTTCTGTTTTGCCTTTGGTTGTAGCTCAGTTTAGTTGTCACTGAAAATTCAAATTTTCATTCTCTTCACAATCATTTAAAACAACAAAAAAATGAAGGTTTCCTTAATAAAATTTGTGATAGTAGCAGTGCATGATGTAGAAGAGGTGCTAAACAGGCATTTCAGGTTGTAATTAATTAGTGAAACTATTAATTTGTGAACTTTTGTTTTGATTTTCTATAAGTCAGCCTGCTTGTGCAGCTGCTGAGTTTGTTTCAGTGTGTGTGTTTTGTGAGCGTAAAACTCTTTGGATTACAAATCCCCTGCCCAGTCCTGAACTAGCCAGGAAAAGAGCCTTTTAACTTAACTCTCACATATTTATTTGTTTTAAGCAATTGCTGTAAATTCAGGCTTTTTCAGTTTAAATGCAGCCTTGCGTCCAAGGAATGGCCCACGAGGGCTTTGCCCGTTACTGAAGGAGTTTAATGCAGCACCGTGTACTTTATTGCTGTCAAATGTAATTTATCCTGACTTGATTGTACTGAAAGCCGTGTTTATCAGGCACCTAGCAACACTGTTTTGAATGAAAATTACCTCTTTAAAGAGCAATTAGGAAAATGAACCTATAGGCCAAATGCCTTTGAGCTCCAGACTTACTTTAATATTATTCTACATTAAGTCACGCAGAAAATCTAGAGTAGAATCAGCTAAGCAAGTGTACAAAGTCCCCTGGCAATATTTTTCAATTGAAGGGCATGAGAGTTTGATGGAAGAGATGTGAAAGTTGTTTTCAAAGGGTGATGTTAACTAGGAGCTGTGTGCAAGAAACTTTATTGCCATGTTTCAGATTGGCAAAGTGACTGAAAATAACAAGATTAGATTAATTGCAGGAAATAACTCAGAGATGGTTTGATGTTTGCATGCATTTGTATTATTCATTGGGAAACCCTGTTACTAGAGCAATATCTTGCTTTCTCATGCGTGTCAGCTTAAATGAGTGAATATTTTCAAATCTACCTCACAGAGCAGCCCTGAGAACGGGAAAACAGTCTTTTGTATGGGTGTGTTGAAGGGCCAGCGCAACACCAGCACATACAGTATGAGAAGGCAATTAGAGATGGGGCCACATTTTACACACCGTTACCTTCCTTTCAAGACAAAAGCTTAAACAACTGCTGTAATAAGATGTCGAATTAAGCGGTGAAGGCCACCATATGAGACTTGTTTTTCTGTAGCACTTTCCTCCTGTGTTTCCCATGTCAGCGAACCAGAGCGTGGCTTGTTTCTTTGTGTTCTAGATCGGGATCCAGATATCTTTCTCATCATCCAAGCCTTACTCCACTTTTCCCCCCATTAGATTTTCTTTCCCCCTAAATTCCCTCACACTCACCCGCCTCCCCTCTCCTCCCTCTGCACACATACATCTTGCACACACACCTCGTTATCTTATTTGTGGCCTTGGCAGCCAGATTGGTTGCCTTGTGGTTCAGTAGCCAGTTTTCTCTGTCACAGAGAGCCTTGGGTGCAGATCCTTCACCACACACGCTTCCATGAGAGCAGGAAGTCAGTTCCCGGCATGCTTTGCCCATCCCAGTGAAACCTGGGATGGATTAACCTTGGGCTGGGGGACCTTTCCAACTTGGAAAAGAGTTATGCAACTTCCCATACTTATTGCTGCTCTCTATTGCAGTGACGGTGAAGTGTTGGGCTGTACAGACGTTTGTTTAAAAATGGGGTTCAGTTCTGAGGGCTGGAGCAAGCTAAGACCTCATTTGTGATGTTTCCTAACGTAGGACTCACTTTTTACATAATGCAGGCTTTGGCAAAAGTTCACATACATACCTTTTTAAGGTCACAAGCCAATTGTCAACAAACACGAGAGAAAATACACATTGTGGAAGAGAGCCAGAGATTAATAATAATAAAATGAACTGAAATGACCTGCCAACCTTAGGCAAAAGAAGAGAACGAGTTCGACATGAGGCAGTGTGGAATACAAAATCGCTCTCACTCAGAGAATCTCACACCTGACGGTAATGATTAAAATGAAAAATCTTTTCTCTCTCTTGTTTCTGCTCAGGTGGTTCAGGAAAGCATCGATCCAAAGAGCCAAAGAAGAAGAACAAGCAGAGGCTGCGGTTTCGAGCTCAGAACCAGCACAGTGACCACTTGGCCTCTAAACGCTCCAGCCAGTGAGGACTGAAACTACCCAGTGAACAAAGAACCAACGCAAAGCTGCTAGCCGCTGCTGCACCTATATTCTGATTGACGACTATCACGAACCCCGCCACCTCCCGTCCTGCTGCCCAGCCCTATCCCACCTTCGCCCTGCCAACCAGGACTCATAAATCTGCCAGTCCAACAATATACAGCATATAATGTGTGATATAAGTACAACACTAAACCACAACCACACCAAACACATGCTTTCATGCCTCTGCCTCCTGCTAATTCTCCCCGAGCTGCAGTGACCAGCCAGGTGACTCTGTTCTCCCAGCCTTGTTACCTTGTGGATCTTTACAGTTGACATTACTGAACTCATTTCATCGTCATTAACAATGTCATTCAACGTCTGGGGTGACGGAAGACGGAGGAGCCACCAGAGGTACCGCGGAGGAGCCAGGAAGGGGACGGTGAGGTTGTGAGGGAGTTGGCGACATAAACTGTTCGGGAGAGATTTAAAAATACGCTCGAGGAAGCAAAACGATGCTGATGGACAAGAAAATGGCATCTTGACCTGAGAGAGAGACTATTTTTTTGTTCCCTATATTTATGTCAAAGCTATCCTTACCTTCCTTATTCATGGAGACAAGTGTTCCCATTGTGGCCTTTATGTTATGTACATTTTTGAGAGTAATATTAAAAGAAATTACCATGCATAGTTGCAAAGTATTTTATTCTCAGCACAAACTGTTTACGTTCAGACCGCTTTATGCTCTAACTGTATAGTGTGGTTAAAAAACTAAAAAAGAAGAAGAAGAAAAGAATAAATTTAGTTGTTCAACTAGCATGGCAACAGACTCGTGTACATAGTTGATCTAATATTGAAAGCTTATTACTGTATTTTCAGTATTGACTCGTTCATCGTTCTAAATGTTTTAGAGAAAAAAAGGTTGTAATACAAGCTACAGATTAAAATGATTAAAAACAAATAATAAACATAGCCACCATATAGCTATTTCATTTATATGGTATATATTTGATTTATTTATTAATTCTGTTTTGTACTTTTTTTTTGGTTCCGTGAGAATTTTTTGCCTCATACTGTTACTCTTATATGCTGAAATATTCTTTGCGTTCCTTATAACAGTGCATATCTTTAACAAGTGGAAACGCTTTCTCGTCTGTCACGCAGGTGTTGTATTCCTTTCATTTGACCTCATCTACTGATTTTGATGTTTTAAAGAAGAAAAAAAAACAGACTAATAAAACTATGCTTTGACATATTCTAGGTTTATTGATTAGGATCCAGCAAATGTATGGTCATAGGACTGCATATGTGTACATTGTGTTTTATTAAAAAACATTTCATGTGACTGTATGATGAAGCCTTTCATTATTGTCTGTGGCTATAATATATGTGGCTAAACTCTGAAACTGTAGTTTTCTTGTCTTTTTTTTCCCCGAGTACCATCGAGTGATTTCAAAAACATTTGTGAAATCCGTCATGTCGTACTGCATGAGACAAGTGGTATCTCCAGCCAAAGGATTGGATATGGTCGACTAGGCCTTAACGGCATGACAGCACCGTTAAGGGTTTGTAATTCACTATGACGTAGCCTCGTGAAAGCTACAAAACCAGCGGATGTCATTGGTGGCTCATCCATCTCCAGCATTACACTATAATTTCCTAACAACTTGCGTTTGGCTGTGTCTTTTGTCATGCGACACACACAATCAATCACCAAATTAAGTGATGCACGTCGCACTTACTTCTGTGATCTTCAAAACATTAAATAATCACAGAGAAATTTAGCTATATGCTAAATCTATCTGGTATATGGGTGAAGAGAGGATGTTCTAATGCAAGTCATGGCTAATTTAACCCGAGGTCCACGCTGCATAATCACCATCCCAAAAAATGAAGGAAAGAAAAAAAATTCAAATCTGCCAGACAGCTTATGGATGGCCAGTAGCAGATGAATCGCGCTGTGTCACATATATATATCATCCTGGGAGAAAGAGACCACAGTCTTCCTGCTCTGGTTAACCCCCCCTGAAATCACAAATGATATTTCCACAGGGAGCCTGTCAGTGTTGAAATACCCCTCAGTTTATGGGCTCCATGTCTATCTTAAGGCCAAATATGCAGCTTTAAGTGCCTGAACATCTTTCACAGGTGTTCCAAGTGGCACGGCAGACTTTACCCAGGAGGCTTTTCACAGCTTAACAGTGGAGCCGCAAAACCGACATGTAGTAAAAGGTTATCAAGTCAAAAGAATAGCTAACGCATTTGGTTATTTTAGTTACCATGACATTAGAACAATGAGAATAGAAACATTTAATCAAACGCAATACAAAATGTCAGCAATGTTTCAATAAGCCCTGTATGGCTATAGCAAAGAAATAATTTTTGGCTAGCATGTTAAGTTCACAAAGAGGATCCAGATCAGGTGCTGCCAGGTCACTGATAGGGCTCACTAAGCCTGTTCCAGATCTGGGAGTAGATCTTCCAGGAAACTGTCGTTACATTAGGAGCATGCCCTGATGTTGTCAGGCATGTGTACAAGAACATTAGGGAGCCATGCAAACTAGTGAGTTGCTGCAGTGAAATTCCAGTATAATAGACTAACCTGCCTCATCATTTTTTCACTCTGATTTTAAGAGCGACCTTCAAATCTGCACTCTGTAGTTTGATTATTTTCATTTCGAGCAAACAGTGTGGCATCCTTTTGTTCCAAAGACATTACCCAGTCTGTATCAGTATAGATTTCTAGCATGATTTTTTCCCATTGAGATCTTTCCTTTAGTTTTTTTTTTAAAAATCCACATTTTCTGTCTTGTTATTTGGGCTTTTGGAAGCAGCCAAATTTTGGGGGGGAATAACATCAATGGCCAACCCATGGCCTTTAATACCTTATATGTAATTTAATGCACGTCTAAAGGTAGCTAACTTTAACTCTAGCTAACAAACTTACCCAGATGCAAGCCTTTATTTGACAGACAAGTAGTATTAAATAGTTTTAGGCCTCCATCTAGAGCTGTCGGAAAATTTTACTTTCTAAAAAGATTTATTTAAAGATGGCAAAAGGGAGGCCATAAACAACCAGTTGGGCCAATGATAAATGAAACAAAGCAAAAATGAAATAAATTTTTGAAAGGAATTAAACATGTCATAGATGTTGAGTAAGTTGTTTTTAAAGACATCTGTTGCTGGTTCCAAGTTAATGAACGATTCACAGATGTCATCTCCCGGGCCAGACTATCACTACTCCAGACTTGGGGATTAAACCTTACAGCTTACGGAGAGGAACTCCACTGAAGTGGATTCATTAAGCACAAGACCACCACTAAAGCACACATTGCAGCATCCACAGTGGAAAAAAGAAAGTACAAAGAATCACATCGCACATTTGATGCGATGCGATCAAACTCTTATAGTTATTCCTTAATATCGGTCTGTCCCTTTCCACTCATTTGTTTTTCTGTGACTGTGAGAAAAAGGACATTGCTGCAATTCTCAGTGTTGTTGAGGAGGTTAACAGTCATGCACACATCAGAAGGAATGGTCCTCCCTGTGCAAACCACTTCTGTAAAGTGTGTGAGTGTGTGTATGCCTTCCTTTGTGCGGATTTTTTTAATGTTTGTGCTGAATGCGGTTAGGTGGCTGAGACTGAAGCTCCCTTTTAATCTGACAGAGAGCATTTTCATTAGTTCTGTTGGGTCCTATTATTAAAGCCTGCTTCAAAGGCACAACAAGTGAAACCACTAACAGGAAATGACCCAGTGGGCTTGAATTCGGATAGATCAGTGCTTTTAAAGCAGGTTGGGATGGCGCTTAAGCGTATCTGCTGTCGGCCATGTATGCGGCTCACAAGACAGTAGGAGGATAACAGGAGGGGTGCCGAGACCTCTGCCCTATATTAAACATGCTGCAGCTTAATGCGAGTAAGCAGTTGTGGCATATGTGACACATTCGTTCCAATGTGCATGGCAGAAGTGGAAGTTATGACATTGGTGGGGCAAATAAGATTGCCCTGGATAATAAATGTTGCAATAATTTGCTGTTTTTAATAACTGTATAATGAGCCATCGCTTTGCCCTGTGAGTTGACGGAAATCTGGAATCATTAATCTTCTGGTGGGTTAGCCATGGTGTTTGGCACGGGCTGAAACAGCACTGAGTAGGAACATACTGGTGTCAAAGGACAAGCAGATCTTAATATTTTGAACAAGTTTGCCATATGTTAGACATCATGATGTGTACAAGGCTGCGAAATGGTGGCATTAATGGGTGACTTTTATTACTAAACTCGCTCCTAATTGCAACAATGCAATCCAAAGTCAACTCTCAAAGCAGGAACTCGCTTCATTTGGAGTTGCTAAGGAACACATTAATCCCTAGAATAAATACAGTCTTCAATAAAAGCTAATTGTCTGTGACAGTCATTTGCTTTGCTGCAGAAACATTCAAAATGGGAAACTGTAAAAAGATTCAGAGTTGGAGTAGCGGTGCACCGGTTAAGCCTGCGTGGATGATCGCAGTCGTGTAGCCCCGTTATGTCGGCCTCACCTGCGGGACAGGAAACGTAGGCCCTTTGTCATAATGCTCACCTTGTGCATTAATATTGCCATGCTTTGACACACATATATTTTTGTTTAAATTTCTGGATGACAAATGGGGATATTTATGAGTCACTTGCGCTGGTAGTGTTTCAGTTGAGCTTCATTGCAGCAGGTGCAGAAGAGAACATGGGACGTTTTTATCACCATCCATTACATGGAGCAGACAGGCATTTCTATACCTACCCGGCGTGGCGATTCCTAAGGGTGCCGTAACTATTGTTTTTCCTGGCCGATTCAACCCCGCGTTCTTCTGGAATACCTAGCTGGTTCTTTTACACTGGGATTCAAATGCAACACAAAGCCATTGTCCCTGCTCAGTCATAGGCAGAGCAACTCGCTCATACCACTCAGGATGTGACACGCAAGGGCTTTATGACCTGAAATGAATCATACTGCACACCTTAAACGCATTACAGGCTGGGCAAACATTTCCTCTAACTGGTGCTTTGAGAGCCATGGGCACAACCATTATATTGGACTCAAGAGCCAGCTGGTGAGGACAAATCCACAAGGATTCCTATTTTCCCTCTTCTGACTCTCTGGCAGCCCTGCTCCATTCATTCAATTTTTATATGTGCCCACTGCCTAGTAGCTGCGTTACTACTGGTTTCAAGGGAGAATTAATCAAAAACAGGTCTTATTAAAGTATATTAAGACCAGTTGAATGGGATATAATGTACTCAGTCAGAGCCCAGAGGGGCTTTATGTGAGCCATAGCTGACACTAGTGGCTTCTACGTGTAGGGATATGTTGTTCTGTAGTGGCACTGCATTCCTTCCTGGGGGGCTATTCGCTTAAGCCAGATATTGCATTGTGGGTAAGCAGATTTTAAGTGGGTATGAATACAGCAGGGGGTAAAGCAGGCTCTCATTGTCCAGGAATGTTTATCCCCAACCCCTCCTTGATTCAGGGATGGATTATGCAGTAGCATGCTTCAGAAGCAACCTTTGGCTCCACTTGGAGGGTCTGTGGAAGGAATATTCATTCATACATATACACACACGTGCAAACGGTTGTTATCCTTCTAATAAGAAGCCAGGTTGATTGCTCCCTTAAGGCCCGTGGTGAGTAGGTGGAAGTGGAGCCGCTGAAGCAGGGTGTTGAGGGTAAGTCCCTGGGCTGGGCTCTTTGGGAAGACTGGAGCCAGTGATGCCCCCAGTGAGCGCAGCACAGTTATCATCTTCAGCACAGCAAATTTTATTGGGAAGTGTGTGGGTTGTAGAAACGTGTTTAATCAACTCAGCTTTAGGGGAGGTCTTGACCTCATCGCAGACATTTCCAGCCCAGATTGAGCGTGCGTGTGTGCGTGCCTTTGCTGTCAAGCGTGACCTGCGGTGGAGTCACTGGGTGACACTCTGCTCTTTGCTGGTTTAAGTGATTAACTGGAGAAAGTGATAACTGATTTGTCAGTTAAGAGTCTGAAACAACTGCTGTCAAATGACATTTTTCCCTGTAGATCCAGTCACAAGGGACCTTTTTTGAAGTCCCTATCCCACAGTGTTAGATATCCATTTTTTTAAAACATCTTGCTTGCAATTTCTTTCCTATAAAGAAACAAGCTTGTAAATATTTAGCATTCGCTTAACTACGGAGTAAAAGTTGAGTCCCAAATTTGGATGGAAAGCACATAATTGATATTTTTAACCCCTGCTGAAGTCAAGTCAAGCGGCTTTATTGTCATTTCAACCATATACAGTGGTACAGTACACAGTGAAACGAGACAGCGTTCCTCCAAGACCATGCTACATGACTGCATAAAGTGCAAGTGTGCAAAAATTGCAAAAAACAGTGCAACAGCAGACAGA